CTCCCACAGCCACCATTGAAAATTTCCACGTTGTGGAAAAGCTCTCTGATAATGCCATCATTGTGTACCAGACACACAAGGTATACTGAGTACATGGTGCCTTTTCATCAGTAGCATTAAACCACCTGTTTTTGATTGATTTGCCTGCTGAATTTTGTCTTTCATGTTTTAGAGAGTGTGGCCTGCCTCTCAGAGAGATGTGCTGTATCTGTCAGCCATCAGGATGATTCCACCAAGAAATGAAAACGACCCCGACACGTGGCTGGTCTGCAACTTCTCTGTGGACCACGATGATGCCCCTGTAAGATTAACCCTCTGAGGCTTGCATTGTTTTCCATCACGTGTTCATATAACCGCCCAACTCTCTGATACCATTCAGCGACTGAGTGGTGTTAAACATGCTGTTGTGCCTACACTTTGGCGCAGTGAGTGATTACATATCAGGCTCATTGAAATCTTGGTATGCTTCTGAATGATGAAACAGTCCAAATATAACACTAAGTTAGCAGTGCCAAGAGAAGTGAGGACTTTGTGAGACAGTCTCACAGTTACTGCCTCAATTCTGCTGCTATAAACACACAGTAAGTTTCCAGGATAAATTGCCATCTCGGGGAGCCATTTGCTGTCATAAACACGCTCTTTCCTGGCAAATGTTGAGATGGTTAATCTGTCTGTGCCTGCCTGCAAAACACTGGAGTACAGTATCTACAGCATTATATACTGTGGTTAGTTTTCAATGATAAGAAACTTCCATCTAAAAACAGAAAGCAAATTGGGATAATAGATTTTCACTGTTAGATTCTGAAATCAACACTTTGTGTCCGCCTATCAAATCAGCCTTAATGAGTCTCTTCTGCATATATTATGTTAGTATGCACACTAATGTAAATAGCAAGTAGATTGTTGTCAGAGAGTAATTAGGTCTGGATTTGAGCTTTAATGCATTAACTGTGTTTTTGTCAGACAAAGACTGTTTTGAGCATGTTTGTATTTGTTTACATCAAAGTACTGTGTTTAGTTCATTAAAGCTTTTACAAACATCGTGATTTTTTTTATTTTTTATTTATTTATTTTTAAACAAGACTTTTTTGGGGCGAAACAGAAGAACAGCATTAATCTTACTCACCCTGTCAGTTCATCTACAGTAAGAGTTGTGTTAGCTTGGGGGGTTGTTTGTATTTTGTTTTTGATTATTATTATTGTTGTATTTATTTGTCTATTTTAACTTTCAGCCCACAAACCGGTGTGTTCGTGCCAAAATCAATGTTGCCATGATCTGCCAAACGCTGGTCAGCCCACCAGAGGGTGACAAAGAAATAAGCAGAGGCAACATCATGTGTAAGATCAACTACATTGCCAATGGTAAGTACCTCTGAAGATCATCTAGTTTTGATCTTAGCATATGTGCCTGAGGCAAGATCAACGGCCAGCAAAACCAAACCTGTGTAGCAACAACAATCCTGCTATAATGCAACCTACTGTAAATGCCAGAGGCTCCAACCAAACCTCAAATCAGTTTTTCAGTTTTACTCAGTCTGCATGTGTCCCTACACATACAGTGGTGGGAAATAATTATTGTATTATTATTATATTATTATCATTGTAAATGTGCATTCTTGAGCAGGGGGATTTCTAGTGCTGTGAGATTTCAGTCCTTTGCAGTGTAGTGTGTTGCTGATGGTGACTGTGGTCCCAGCTGCCTTCAGATCACTAATAAGCTCCTTCAGTTTAGTTTTGGGCTGATCCATCACCTTTCGCGTGATCATCTTCACATCATAGGCATAATCTTGGAGCTCCAACCTGAGGATGACTGTTGGTGCGATTATTTAGAAATTGAGAAATGTATAACCATCAGTCACTGAGCTTCTTGCTGATGGTCTTGTAGACAATTCCAGCCTGTCTGCAGGTCTAAGATCTGGTCCTTGATACCCTCTGGCAGCTCTTTGGTCTCACCCACGGTAATGGAGAGGTTGGAATGGATTTTGTGGACAGGTGTGCTTTATACACCGAACAAGCTGCTTTCTGTAAATGACTGACTGATTGTTATCAGTGTGGGAGACAGAAATCTGTCTGGATTGTAGAGCATCAAATACTTAGGAGTCAATGACGTGCAAAATGATCTATAACATTTATGTAACATGTTTTTCTAGATTTTTTTGCTTGATATTTTGTCTCTCTCCTTCAAAATGAAACTACCATAAAAGTTAGAAATTGTTTGTTTCTTTGTAAGTAATCAAACTCAAGTTCATTATTGCCCCACTTTATATGAAAAAACACTAGGCAATAAGTGAGAAAAGCACACATGGAATGTTCCAGCTGGCACATATACATATATCAGCTGGGTTGATCCTCGGATTCAGTTTAAATGGTTCAGACAAAGAAATTATTGTTGATTTACATATAGAGACAACAAAAGGCCTTAAAAGAAAAATTATGTATCGAGTAGTTTCAGTGTATCTGGATCCAATGTGACAATCTTTAGCTTGGTAACATCTTGTGTCACAAGTTACAAATGAATATACACCTTTATCCTCATTTGAAACAATCTGATATCAGCATTTTTACACTTAGTACAGCTGCTCTGACACATGGATCACACAGTCTGGGTTTCTTTGAAATTTCAGTCCAGGCTGCCTCTTCTCTAAGAGGCTGTTACATAAAGGAGCGCTGCAGGGGGAATCTTGAGCCAGTTTATTGCCGGGGATGCTGAGCAGTTCAAAGGATGTTCATTTAATAAATCTTACATTTCCTTCTCCCACTAGAGGGCACCTCTAAACAGTTACAGCTCTCTGTGCACTGAATCACTGAGTTATTGTTAATTGTTTTATCATAAGTCAGCAGGAACACATTGGTTTTTGTTTTCATCTTTGTCTTTATTCCCTCACTCCTGTGTGGCTGCAGTAAACCCCGGAGGCTGGGCTCCAGCATCAGTACTCAGAGCCGTGGCCAAAAGAGAATATCCCAAGTTCCTCAAACGCTTCACCTCCTACGTCCAGGAGAAAACTGCTGGGAAGCCTATCCTTTTCTAAATTTAAACAGGTAACCACAGAAACACTGTTATTAGCAGCGGGATCTTCTATACTTAGTTGTATTTGTATTCTTTTGTTTTGTATCCTGACTTTATTACACTATTTGAGATATCTCCTGGTTGATGTCGTATCTGTTATTTTGAATCAGCCAGCAGATCCATACACTTACTTCAATTTATTCTTTGTATTCTTTTAATCCTGCTCATTTCAGCTTTCAGAGGTGCCAAGTTCACCTGCTGGGGAGACTGCGTTGTTGAAGTGACTGTTGAAGATCACATGACCATTCACGTGTCACCGCACCATCAGGACGTGCTGCTTGAAGATGAGACTGCTTTTGGCCCTAATGGATCAGTAGTTATCATCTTAGATTGTAACCTGTTGGTCATGGGTTCGTTTGTACGTAAGCTGAAACATTTCCTAAACAGTCTTCAAATTGTTACCGATAATTAACTTTTTGTTTTTTATTTGGTTTTTTTTGTTAGGGTTCTTTTTTTTTTGTAAATTGTTTTGTACATTTACTATGATTAAACTTTTCTTGAACTTTTGGGGGG